ACGAGACATGAGAAAGCTTCACTTACAGTAGTCGATTGCTACAGCTGCAGCAGAGAAGTAGTATTTAGTGTTCTCCTTGCAATAGTAGTCCACATCACAGTCCATGTGATAAGGTGGTTGATGATCCCTGGTCAAGTAGAGCATCGCTTCCATCTGAAGTAAATCTTTGTCGTGGGGTACCCACCATGGGTCAGGCGTCCAGGAAAGTATCTCACTGTGACATCCTTGGATGAGCAGGTTGCAGCGTTCCAGATTGCGCTCGATATAACATATTCCGGGACCGAAGACTTTGTCCGTGAGCCGCGCGGACTTGTCGGGATCGCGTCTATCTGCAAGAACCAATGCAAATCGCAAGGCGTTGACAAATGTTTCACTGACTGTATCGTTCTCCAAGATGACAGGCATCTCGAGTCTCAATTTGTCGGATTGCCGAGCGACCGCTTCTTGTAGGATGTTGCCAAAAAATGTGCCCATGTATGGATGACGCGCGTCAATATCGTCGAAGTCTGAAGGGTGTAGTAACTCGGCGACACAGACGAGCATTCGTTGCCTCTGAGTTTGAACCAGCCTGGTCACTGGAGCGCGGCGTCATTAGTGAGATTCTGGGCTGATGATAGCACGGTACCGTACTTACAGTAGTGGAAGCGAGCGGCCTTGGAATGCAACTCTTCGAATTTTGATCCATCATACGCAGAGCGCCGTGTGCTAAACTCGGCTTTTTGAAAAGCGATTTGTCCCATCTCTCTTGCCGCAATCTTACAAGTCGCTAGCAAGCCAAGGTTTTCCGTACGCGCAGATGCATCCCGATAGCGCAACTTATGCGTGTCTTTATTGTACTCGTATGATCGCCTACCGCTTGCATAGCATTCGTAGATTTCATCGCGAAGTTCTCGAGGTAGGCGGTATAACGGGGATCGCAACTGCGTCGAGTAGGTGTTCGCCGACTGGGCTGTAGCCATCGATGGAGTTTTACTCCGGTGGGTAGAGTTGCTTGTCGACATATCTGAAGATGCAGATAGTATACAAGGAATGAGTGATGGTTGCAGTGATAGGGTTTAAGAAATCTCATATAGTTGGAGATGACTCTTTCTCTTTTGGAATTCCGTGGATGGTTACACTCGACATACTCACTAGCGGTTCGCGCTGGCTGGGAGAACCAGGAACGCAGTAGTGGTGACTCGCCTGCAGGACTGCGTCCGGCCATTAAATGACCAACAAGACTCACCGGGTAGATTGCAAGTTGAACCAACATAATCTGTTGAGAAGACACAGAGGCGCAAGAATGGTGAGTCAGTAGCAGGCGTGGTAACTGCGAGCCGGTCTTCTGTAGACCTTGGAAGCTATGAAACTTTGACTCATACTTCTCGAACCACGTGCATTATAGTAGCTCGGGAAAGATACGCATTTGCGGCCAGTGAGGCATGTTCTCTGGCTTCGTAGGTAATTGTACGAGGCATGGGCGACATCCGCGCAGGAATGCTAACTTTGGTTAGCGCGTGCCGGGATTGATGACGCAATGCGTAGCTAACAGGGGCTGTCGCGAATGTCATTCGCGCCGCGATATCGTGCAGGTTCATCCTCATATCTATCGCATATTTAGAAGTCTGTTTGAATCTCATTCGATCTCATTCGATTCAACAAGCCATATATCAAGTTATGTGTCTCTTGACTGCATCGTTACTCGGCCCTACCTAGTTACTCAGGCATTAAGAGTACCTACATAGGTAGGTAGCACAAATACTCGATGTCTAACTTCCCTAGGCAGTTTCCCCTACCTCCCGAGGTCCTCTTCTCTGTCTTTCGCGCTCGAGCCTGAGGGTCTCTTCGCCAGAAGACCTCTCAGTGGTTTCTAAGGAAACGCCTCACTCTTAGAAATAACAACGCCTGGCAAACGCATATTTATCCGTCGGATCAGATCCTCGTTCCACCGGCCATGGCTGTCCCGTATCTCAATCATTTCTAAGCCCCTTAAAGAGGCCATATCGTCCTCTAGCCCCATGACTATACTCCCCACAGCTGTCCTAAGTTGCATCCTCTTAATAGCCTGTAGTTGCTTCTGGCCGGTATGATGGAGTAGCTTCCATGCATTGGAACTAAAACCCGTCATGGCAAAGACGTTGAGAGTGTAGGGCAGCATAGCGGCCTCTGTGTTTATCTGCGAGCAGCTTCCAAGGAGGGCGAGAAGATGTCGCTTGGGGCCGGCTCGGTCCCTCATCGCTGTTCTTATCATCTCTATCGGATGATTCATACGTAGCACATACTCGTAGATGATGTTACGAAGCTCAGGTGGAAGACGGAGGAGAGGGGAGTTTGCCTGGTTCTCTTGGGTTCTGTCAGACTGTAAGTGAGTTGTAGCGGATGTGCGAACTCTTGAACTCACCGACGTATGCGCTCAGCATGCGAAGTACTCAGGCAGGTTATGTCCTGAAGTTCTCCTGAATCCTCCATGAAAACTCCGTTGGTTTGATTTGGTTGGTTGAGTCTATTGGATGTATTGATTGCCGATCAAGGTATGGTAAGGTGTTCTCGATGAAGGTAGAAGGCAGAAGACTGGCAGATTAATAGGTAAATGAAGGAGCTGGACTAGGTGTGCACGGGCTTATGACATTTACAAGCAATGTACGATCGCATGAAATGACCTGACACCATAGTCTATTGAAATGTGCGAAGCAAGCGCACCTCACCGAACGCAACCAAAGCGATTGACCTGTGTCCCTAACCAGTGCTATGACCACCGCAGAGGTTCCAATGCGTATGGCGACACAAATATAACCTCGATATCACCTGCCTGGCCTTTTGCAACTGCAGCTTCCGCTTCTTTCACACGAGCAAACTCCTTCTTGGTGCTCCATAGACCCCTAAGCTCTCCCATATACAGTTTCTTCAACCCCTTGCATCTACCCAGGCTCCTAAGCACCATCTTCAGAGCCTCGCTTCCACTCTGAAACGCGCCCCAACTTATATCAACCATAATCATTGTCATGGCTTCGAGCTGAGCATGTTTCCGTGAAGCGACAAAGCGATCGAGTTCAAAGACGTTGTTAAAGGAAAACAAGTTCTCGGAGTATACTAGAGTAGCTGTTTCGGAGTAAATTTGACGACAGACGCGCGGTAGGGCGATGTTGGCAGGTGTTGACCGGAAGACGTCGTTATCGCTGTTGAGGTGGCGCCATTCGCGGGTACTTCCGTGCCTAAACATGGGTGTACGAAGTCAGTGAATGTCTTACATCGTACAGTGATATCTCTTACCAACGGTGTATATACCGGCCGCCTCCCAAAGCATACCTGAAGATCTTGTTTCGAAGTTCGGCGGGAAGACGGAGAAGGGGAGACTGTTGCGTGTTGGACTTGACGCTTTGGGTACTATTAGTTGTATGCAACTCTTCTGCTTCATAAGGGCTCACATGGGGACGAGGTCTTTTGGTGTTTTCCGCAAGGAGACGAGACCGCCGCGAGTACGATAGACGCGCTTGGAAGACTCCATGATCGGTTTGGCAGGACGCTTGCGCATGTTGTAGCGCGCTTCGGGGACGGGCTGAGAAGCCTCTTCTGGGAGCTTGGGCTTGTTCATAGTGGTGGCAGTTCTAAGTTGAGACACTGAATAGTGATTCCCAAGTCAAGTCAAAAGGAGCCGAGCTGAAGTATCAAGGGGGCTTCTTGAGTACGTCAGCTGATGTACTCTAGTAGGGTGGGTCATTCATCGTGCAGTGAGGTAGCCATAGACACAGAAGCATGTGTCAATGCATCGTAGTGAATAGTTGCCGCACTTAGTACTGTCTAAGCTCATTCAAACCACTAGTCGCTTCAGCTCTTATTCAAAAGTTTGACCTCCTTCTTACCTCACTTTCTCCACTACCTGACACAATTCCCTGAACATACACCGAACCGTTCGGTCACAAACCCAACTAAAGTAACTCCAATCGAACGATAAGTACCACAGGCGCAAGACTACCCATGGTTTCTCAAACCCACAAGAATTGTGATCAAGCAAGCGCCTCAAGTAAGAAGATGCCTGTCGAAGAGCCAAAAGAGGATGGCTTGTTGGATCTTTCACAAACGTCCGACCATCTTGTGACGATGTAAGTAAAGACCTTAACGATCCTCATGTCTCTCTAACAGTATCCAGTGCCCAAGACAACAGTGTGAACTCTCCTCTCCTGCGACTACCAGCCGAACTCCGCACAAAGATATGGCACTACGCACTTGGCGGTATAACCGTGTATCCCAACCTCAAACGATTGAGATATCGCAAATACGGCTCTACATCAACGGGTCTCTTCAAAAGCAATCTAGGGCAGCTTAGCCTCCCTCGTACCTGCCGACAAATCTACTCGGAGGCTGCTCTGGTCTTCTACCGCGAAAATACTTTTGCTTTCCACGATTACAAAGCCTTCAAGCGTTTTCGAGATCGAATCCGAAATGCCCACTTCGCGATGATACGATCCATTTCCGTGAGGACCATTGGCGCTCTTCTGACGTTTCAAAAAGAACTCATGGAGGCTGACAGGTCTCAAGCCTCCTATCAATACTCCAACAATCTTAAGGAAGAGTTTCTAAACTACCACGATCCTATGGAACAGGATCTGCGATGGATCATACGACTGGTAATCCCTGGTCTACTGTCAACATTTCCCAATTTACATAAAATCGTGATTGCGTGTTCTTGTCATGCGAATGGGATTCAGGGGAAATGCAGTTTTGATACTCGAGTTTCGTGGCCGCCGTTTCATAGAGAGGGAGTCGAAGTTGCGTTCCGTGAGTAGGGGCGACTCGGTACAGATTGTAGGGACAGGACTTGATGGCTTCATGCGAAAACAACAAAGAGATCACTGTAAACGCTTGCGTGATGAAGAAAATCGAGAGCGAAACGATTGGGGAGGATATGGCGGCTCAAGACTAGGTCAAAAAACTCTCCCTCCAGTACACACACTCTACTCTTGGCTGCTCATGTTTACCCCACTCGTGTACGCAACGCATTACGCCTGAATTTTGCTGTGTCTTCACTTTGTCCAAGGGAGACCTAGCTTCTTCATCTCCACTGCCAACTGCAGAATATAATCAATACTTTCGCACTGCGTCTTCGCCTTGTGTACGTTATCGCCCCACACGTAAATGCCGTGTCTCTTGACAAGAATCGCGTACGAATCGGGGTATTTCTCCATCGCCTCCTCCAAGCTCTCCCTCAAATCCTCTTCGTGCGCGGTGTTTTCGATGATGGGTATACGCAGACGGTCATAGTAGCCTAGGTTACCCTGCTTCCCTCTTCCCTTCGGTATGCCCTTGATCTGTTCAATCTCTTCGATCTCAAAGCACGCGTCTTTTCCGAAATCGCGCTCGACGAGGAGGGTTACGAGGACGGCCCATTGCGAGTGTGTGTGGATGCAGCAGCCGGCGCCGCGTTCGAAGGCTGCGAGGAAGAGAGGCGTGCACGCTGAGGGTTTAAGGACCTAAATGCTTCTTAGCCATCTTCCCATGGTCTAACATCGCGCGATATACCTGTGGTCTCCTCAAGTACTCTTTGCTGTTGAAGTCCATAACAAACATATCGGTAGGCTTCATGAGCTCTTTCTGTACGCCGCTAGGCGCAATGTATATCTTGTCTTCATGGCGTATGCTCGTTCCTCCGCCAGTGCCTGTCACCTGGCGGAATCTCCGTGTTAGCCATCACTCGACCGTGTCTTCATTCGCGTCCCCTTGACGCCTGGAGATCATCGTACCCAGCCCAAGCTATAAAACTTTGCGCAGAGCGTGCAGATGTGGTTCGCGGGGTGACCTGGGTCATCGGAGTGCACGAGGGCCTCGGCATCATGTTCGCTGGAACTCATTGTGATGCTGCGCAAAGGTGTTGTGGAAGGGTGAAGTTTGGTGGATTTTCTGGAGCCCAATGACGCGACTTGCGATCGCGACTACCCCACGTGGTCCGCGCTAGTGTTCATCCCACCATCATAGTCAGGCACGATGCAGACATCAATCCAGGTAGGTCATACAAAACTTAAAGACATGGTTGAGAGAGTGTCTGTGTCTATTAATTACCAAAGAGAAAACAAGGCTGTCTCATAGTCGAGATTATAGCCTGAGGTATCATCGATGTCCAACGCTCATACCACTACCAGTCCTCCAGGAAAGTCGCTTGACTTGGGTATCATATCTAGTTCGTCGTCGTGTTCTGTGCCAAAGGAGATGGCTCATGTTCCTTCTTCTTGTCCAAATGAAGTACTTCCTTGACCTTGTCGCCCAATCCCTTGCGGTCGGGTGACTGGCTGTGGCCGCCATGCTTTTCTTTGTATACGTTTCCGGCTCCACCTCGCTACAATTATGTCAGTTGAGGCTGCTATTACTCATATAACATGACGTACGCCGGTGTGAAACTCGTCTTGCGGGTTGCGCTGGTTGATTTCAGGTACCATGTCTACTGAGCGACGACCTTCGTCAGACTGCGGCCCAACGCGAGGCGACTTTCCGATGTTGCCAGCTCCCCCACGGCCGGTGGAGAAATCTCCATCGAGAGAGTCGCCTTGAACGCCCTCGCGAACCATGCCTCCATCAGTGTAGACGTTGGTATCGGGGCCAATGTTGCCGGCGCCTGCGTCAGCGATCAGCTTTTCCTGTTCTTGCATATTGAAGTATCATGCAGGGCATACCTCCGCGGCCAGTTGAGTGGATTGGGGTAGTAGTCATTCTGATGGTTTAGCTTTCGCGATGATTGTGAAAACAAATGTTGTCTCGTTGAGATGACAAAGAATTGGTGTCAAGGATGTAGGATATGCTAGGGTGGTCGAACGGCAGGGCGAAGCGCGTTTTCAGGCTCTTATATTCACCCATCCAGTCCTACAAACAGGCCATCTCAGAGTGACGCAATGACGCAATCGCATCTCCAGGTGCTCTAATCGATTGGCGACGCGGGATGGAAGTAGTTTCCGAGTTGGAAACAGGCGCCAGCAGGCTCATGGCTGCTAGTCGTCCAACTAAGACGACGAGCCAAGGAAAGATGCGAGCATGAGTTACAAATTTCGATGGTTTTGACTCTTCTCATCGTCCCGTGGGTGTGGTTTATGCGATGGCGTGAGGTGATCTTCAATGTTCGCGCGATAAGGCCGGGTGGATTGATTCGCCCAGCGACTGACTAAGCGGGCTGTATCCCACTGCTCGACCTGGTGATTGCATTCTCACATGTCATCGCCGACATGGACACGGCTTGCTCGGAGGTCGGTGGAAGCTTTGGCGAGAGATGCGCTGCGCGAGGATTGCTGGGATCTGTAGTCTTGGAGCTCTTGCCACCCCTAACGCAGGGGCAGGCGACGTGTGGTTCATCAGACTACGTCGGTACACAGATCTAGCATAGAACACACAGAAACCGCCTTTTGGCTTGTTACCCTACACCTAAAGTTTTGATGTCCCAATGACGATCTCACATAATCGGATGATGGTTTTGATTTGGGCATGCCTTTTGGGCGAATATTGAATTACGATTATGCGGTACGAAGCGCTCTAACAATGTTGTTTATACAAAGATTGAGGATCAACAAAGGGGTATCATCATATCGAACATCTGATATTTCAAGTTCTAAGGCCTTGCTCATCACTCGGCCTGGCTTGACCTTCCTCCGCGTTTCTAGCTTGCACTTTGTCTTGGTCTGCATGCTTGGCGGGATCAAAGACATAGATTGGGAACTCGAGGAAGACGGTTCTCTTTAGAATCACGGGCAGCTTGGCGTATAGCTGTGGCGGGAAAGGGATGAGAATGCTCGTTCGGTGGAGGTATTGCTCGTACTCGGGCCATCGGTTGCCTTTCTCGTATCTCTTCTTTGCGCCAGGTCGTTCCTGCAGTGTAAGACCGGATACGAACATGAGCAGCAGAGTCAGGAAGAATGGACCGAGAATAGACGCGTACAGAGCGTCATATGCACCGCCCGAGACGTAGTTGTTTGCAGCCGGAGATACAGCGATCGTGAAGATACCTGTCATGATTAGTTTCGGTCCAAAGAAACTCAATGAGCAGCATTTACCGAATTGAATGAGCATCTCGCCGAAGTAATTCGGGTGGCGCGTCCAGGCAAAGAACCCGACGTTGCAGACGGCGCCGTCGCTACCGTGAGCAGTACGGAACCTGTACTTTTGGACGTCGGAAACACTTTCCATGATGAAACCGATTGACCACAGGATGATACCAGCGATATCACAACCTGTTCCAAAGTCTGGCTGATTGAATCGAGTGACTTTTGGCGAGTTCAGAATAGTGACCGGCATGGATACAGTCCAGACCCAGAACATTTGACTGTAACCCATCAGTAATGACACCCAGCTTACGTCTGTAGCTACTCACAACACCCAAAATCCGAGGAACGACCAGAACTTGTCCCTCTTATCGTCGAAACGATCATCCTTGCCAGTCTTGAGGATCCTGAAAAGGAGGAAGCCGCTCAGCCGTGCCGCCCATAGCATGATAAAGAGCGATACCACAATGTTGCGCGCATCGCCGCGGTTCTCGCTGCACGAGAGCGTGATGATCGCAAGAAGGATGAAGTTGGTGCCGCCGGCAAAGTCAGTAAGTTTGTCGAATTTGAACGAAAAAGCGATCGCAAAGCCGATCAGCTGGTATGCAACAGTGACCAGGAAGGTGATGGCAAGATAATAGTCATCGAGGACGTGTATGGCGGCCATGATGACCTCTAGACGGTGCTGTTGTTGTGTGCGCAAACCTTGACAGCAGAGTTGCGCCTACATATACAAAAGCCTAGAGCTTACAGCTACGTCGCTACGTACGGAAGCCGAACGTTCCACGCTGCGCTGGCAAAATTTGGCCGACTCCGACGAGCGAGAATCGTATTCTTTGCGATGGAAGTTGGCCCCAGGGGCTGGCAAGCGTCAGGCCCAGGGTAATGACGCACGTCATCGGTCGCCAAGCCACGATTACTAGGCACGACTTTCTCCCGCGATCACCAGCTACGCACATGCTTCACAGAACAACGCGACTTTGCAGCCTCGCGATTGATAAGCCTTTTCTATCGCACGGCACTTGGGCGGAAATAGATCGGTAATGGAAGATCGATTTCGTTCATGCACGAGCGGAAGGAAGAAAACGCCATGTTCCACAGAGTGAAACGCCTCCGGTGTGAACCCCATCGCCTCGCGCACATCGCGTGTCAGACTACACCACCATAGCGGCTGGCCAGACGATCGTGAAGCTTGACTACCACCAAAATCGCTTTTCGCGGGCCTGTCGATCATGGGTCGCGCGTTACTGGCCTGGAACAAACCCTGATGACTAGGCTGACCCGACAATGCCATCACCGGCTGCACTACTGCGCGCTGGGACTCCATTTGAGGAACACCGTTCCGACCCTTGAGACGCACCTGAACACTGTTCGAGTAGCCGCGAAGGCTCGAAACCAGCACCACACGGTTAGAAACATGCTGAGCGGGGCTGACATGTCGGACCCGTTAAGTAGGATAGTTTTCGCCTCAGTCATGAACCTTTGAACGGTTTGGCACGCTCTCGCACTATCGGAAGCTTACATTCGTTTGCATCCGGACTATCTGTTTCCATTGTGTGTCCACACGTTTCCGTTCCATCTTCAACTCTTCGGTCTTTCTGCTGTGCAGGTACTGAGAGGTTCTGCATGTCTGTGACATCGCCTTCGATTCTACTCCAGCTGGACTGTTGATGTACTAATTACTAATTTTCTTTTTTATCGTTTCCGGTTCTCACTTCATCAAGGATTCCATTATGACTAGAACCCGATCGTCCTGGGTACCAGCCCTGCTGCTCATGAGTGCAGTACGTATGTCATATCCTTGTAGAACTCTTCACTGACCGCGTATAGACGGTCACTCAGGCAGTACTTGATCTTCACAATACTCACATACGAACCGAAGTCTCTGGCAGACGTATCGACAACTTGGTATCGGGACTCGACTGGCAACGACGGGATACAGAAGCACTCAACGTACCTGCTGCCGAGCAAGCCAGTGCACTGGACAATGGAAACATCGCCGCCAGGCTTGCACAGAACGGCCTGGACGCAAACGCCTTGTTGAATGGGCTCGCGCAAGGCCAAGGACAAGGCCAAAGGAGTGGCAACGGAGACATCAACACGAATGATGTCGGTGGAGACCTCGCAAACCAGATCGCTGGTGGAGGCTCTCCGAGCGTTGGTGGCATCCTCATTGGGCTTGATGGGCAAAAGCAGAGTCCATCGACAAACCAGACCAGCACCCCGCAGCCGCAGGGCCAGAGTGGTGCGCAAGGAACGTCACAGGGTGCCAACCAAGGAGCAGGAGGGGACATCAAGTCGAGCGACATCGCCGGGGATCTTGCAAACCAGCTGGCCCCCAAACCCGGTGCTAGTCAGGGTGGCAGCGCCGACATTGCTGGAGATCTCGCGAATCAACTCGCACCGAATGGACAAGGCCAATTACCATCCCAGTCTGGAGCACCGCAAAATGGTAGCAACTTTCAAACGATTCAAATAGTTCAGACCATCGTTACTCAACCCAATGGCCAGGAGATTGCGGCAACGCTGGTTGAAGCAGCGCCACAGGGAGCAGCCGAAGCGACGCCACCCGCTGGAGAAGCGCCAGCAGCAGCATTGCCATCGGCCCCAGCTGAAGCGACATCAGCATCATCACCACCAGCCGGAGAAGCCACTGCCATATCGTCATCAACCGCCGCAAAAGCACCAGCTGAAGCATCTGCTTCATCGACGGCAGAGGCAGAGGCAGAGGCACCAACTACGTTGTCTTCAGCTAAAGGGGAAGCGCCAGCAGAAGCAGCACCGGCATCTTCACTAGCCAAGGGAGAAGCATCAGCTTCGTCATCCGCTGCCGGAGAAGCCTCAGCTACATCGTCGAAAGCTGCGGCCGAGGCACCAGAGGCAGCCACTACATCATCATCATCATCATCATCTGCCGCCGTTGAGAAGCCAGCAGAGGCCTCCGCTTCGTCAAAGGCGGTAAAGACAGTCTTTCCCGCTGGGAAGTCAGCTTTGCCAAAAGTGACTCCTATTCCCTGGACGAATGCGCCTTCCCAGATGGGTGGTATGGCTGCTGGAAACTCAAGCAGCATGGGTGCTAAGGGGGCCGCTATGCCCGCTGCTGAGCCTATGCAGACAGCCAGTCTAGCGGAAAGCAAGAACTCTACTGTACGTTGTTGAGTTATGTTCCATTCTGTACATCGCTAACGCTACCGCAGGGTTCGGAAGCCGCCATGGCACCTGCAGCTGCTGTAACTGTGTCGGCCGGATCAGAGCTCGCAGCTGGCGCTCAAGGTGCTTCAAACTCCACTTCCACCAGTACTGCAGCGATCGACTCGGCCAAACTTACAGCCGGAGGTCTTGCTGCAACGACAACAACTGCAGTAGGCATGGCAGTCACAGTCAAAGCCGATGGAAACAGTACTGCTGGAGTTGCCAGCGCTTCTGGTGGGGGTGGAGCAGCAGCCGCGGTTACTGTTGTCGCCGGCTCAGGATCTGGAATGAACAGCACTGCATCCTCGGGTGGAGCAGCAGCCGCGGTCACTGTTGTCGCAGGCGGAGGAAGCAATGGGACCGCCGCCGGCCTCGCGGGAGCTACAACTACCTCAAAAGCTGCGGCTGCAGTCACCGTCGTCGCAGGATCTGGTGGTGCAGCCGCTGCTACGGCAGCTTCTCAATGCAACTGCGCTTGCATGTGTCCGGCAGGATCTTTCCCCATGTCCGCACCACAGGCCCAGCCCTTCCAACTAGGATCCATGAGCAGCGCGCCAACAATGAGTCAAAGCACCATGCAGACTGTCGTGGGCAGTGCGGTAACAGTTGAGGCCGGGGGTTCACCACCCCCTGGAGCACAGCAGGCTGCTTCGACCAGCTCAAGCAGCACCGTAGCTATCGACTCGGCTACACTGACTCGGCCTGGCCTTGTCGCAGGAACTACGACGAGTGCGGCTGGAGCGGATGTTACTATGATGGCTAGCGGATCTGCTTCTGCTTCTTCGACAGCTGCGACATCATCTGCAAGTGTCACACCATCTGTCGAGGTATCGCTTGCATCGGCAACTTCCTCCTCCCCTTCTCCAAGAGCAACAACAAGCGCGCAGGCTCAGAGCCAAGTCGCAGCCGGCGCGCCTGCGCCTACGCCCGTTGAAGAGCCCCTACCTTTCGATATCAGCACTGTTGCGCTACAGAGTCGTGTCACGGTGAATCTCGGAAGGAGGTTGGTAAAGCCGACGCCGGAGGTTCAGGCAGCGATGTGGTGGTGGTAGATGTCTCATATTTGGCAATATCCAGATCTCTGTGCTTTGTTAGTTTCTAAGTTATATAGTTGATTGTAGCAGTTGAGCATTGAGTGTTCCTGCGAGGTAGTAATGTTGGGAGAATACAAAGGTGTGGATATGATCTTTCTTGTGCATTGCTGCTCGTGTCTATGGGTATCATCTGCCGTCTGTATCTGCCGTCTGTGAGGATAGAGTCAAAATACTCCTTCCTCAGGATTCTGTCACTTCTCCACCTCCCTCCTGTACTTTTGCCTTTTTGTTCTTGGCCTGCTGGCGCTTCGAGATTGGCTTTTCAGCCTTGGTCTCGTGCAGAGGAGTGCCCTCTAAGCTCTCGCCTGGCCGCTTGCCGTTCTGGTTCTTGTTTGCTTTCCCCTTCGGATCTTGCTTGTCCTTGCTCTTAGCCGCAGAGCTTTGCGCTGGCTTCTCTCCACCATAGACAATATCTATGATGCCCTTGAAGCTCTGGCGCTTCAATCGCGCATACTCGACTACACTCCTAGGCTCCTTTGTAAGACCGTCTTTGCCTCTTTCAGTGCCGAGTCCCCAGACAGAAGCCAGATTGATGACATCGCTGGGTGCGCGTATGCCTAGCACGCTCTTCGCTTCCGAACTAAATATGAGGCCCCGACCACGGGTCACGCGTATGAGCTGTGTCGCATTGCTAATCAGGTTGCGCTTTGCGGCCGGGTCGCTCGACATGATACCCTGGCTGTAGCATATTTCGATCTTAATACCACGGGATATAGCTGTCCCCAGCGTAGGGAACTTGAAGTGGGACTCAAATCGCCGGGTCAGGTCGAGTGAAATTATGTCTACGTCCAGACTCTGACATGCTTGCTGGAGGGTGCGGTCGTCTGTGGGTCGCGCGGCTACGAGGTCATATTGCTGCTGGAGTTGTGGTATGCGGAAGTTGGAGGCCGAGTCGGTAAGGAAGATGTTGCATCGTCGTAGAATGCGCATGCGTGGAGGGACCGGGAAGGGGAGTTTTGTGGGTACAGGCGAACTCTGGTTGAGCAGCGCATTAGCGATTGAAAAGAGGAAGGTGAAAGGGTCGCAGTTTCCTCGACGTACTATATCAGTCGGCAGTTTCCCCGAATAGGTGTGCGTGAGAGCAACGACGTCGTATCCTACTGCACCGCGTCAGTCCACCGCCGGCGCATTCAACTACAACTCGAAGAGCTCACATTCGTCGAGGAAAGCTACTGTGCGCTGCAGCTCGCGCGTCGCGTCCGTCCAGGGAACATTCAGGTCGTGAAACATGGCTGCACTAGCTAGAATGACTACTGCAGAGGTGGAGGGAGAAATGCGGCAGCGCAAGCTAAATAATTGTAAGTGAGATAGAAGCGATCGTCATCAGCACCTGGGCCCGCCTGCCGGAAAAGCTTGGCCCTTGCCTGGTACTAGTCTAACGCCCACAAGCCATCCTCCACCACCAACACGAGCAGCCAGAGCTCACTACCGCCGACACCCAGGCACCCCCGCCCAACCAAGAGGCCCATCGCGACTACCGTGACGGCCCTCTGTCGCGCCTTCCTCCATACCCGCTCCTTGCGCTCGCTGTCCTTGGTGCGCTTGCAGGCCTTGCCCTCTTCTCCCAGGGTCCCGACCTCCTCCGCTTCTTCACCCCACTATACGACCCCTCGCTCGATACAACAGCCCCTTGGCGCAGAGATCTCAGTACAGACCTTGAAGAACGCGCAAAGTGGAATTCCACAGATCTCCCGGAGAACTGCTTTGTTGTCCGAATGGCGTTGAACAACAGTAGCGGGGCTACAAGCCTCGCTCGCGTCTACGCCGATGTCAACGCGAACATGCCTCGGTCGTACTGGGACTACGACTCGGTGAACATCTCCTGGGGCGTGCTCGAGAACTACGAGGTCGTCCGCAAGATTGGCCGCGGAAAGTACTCGGAGGTCTTTGAGGGCATCAACGTGGTTAACTACCAGAAATGCGTCATCAAGGTCCTCAAGCCTGTCAAGAAGAAGAAGATAAAGCGTGAGATCAAGATCCTGCAGAATCTGTCGGGTGGCCCCAACATCGTCTCGCTGTTGGACGTGGTGCGCGACAACCAGGTTAGTGACGGCTCCGACTGGATTGGCGACTGGGTACTGAGGCCCAACCGCTGCCGCGTGCTTGAGAGAAAAGCTGACCGGCGATCAACAGAGCAAAACACCCTCGCTGATATTCGAATACGTCAACAATACCGACTTCAGGAGTCTGTACCCTAAGTTCCAGGACTACGACGTGCGATACTACATCTTCGAGCTGCTCAAGGCCCTCGACTACTGCCACAGCAAAGGCATCATGCACCGTGATGTCAAGCCTCATAACGTTATGATCGATCATGAGAAGCGGAAGGTGGGCACATCCTATCAGAGCAGAGGAGCACAGCTAACGAGTACTAGTTGCGCCTAATCGACTGGGGTCTAGCGGAATTCTACCATGCAGGAACCGAATACAACGTCCGTGTCGCGTCACGTTACTTTAAGGGCCCCGAGCTACTAGTCGATTTCCAAGAGTACGACTACTCGCTTGATATGTGGTCGCTGGGTGCCATGTTCGCCTCAATGATCTTCAGGCGGGAACCATTCTTCCACGGCAACAGCAACTCTGACCAGCTCGTCAAGATTGCCAAAGTGCTTGGAACGGAGGACCTGTTCGACTATCTCGACAAGTACGACATTGAGCTAGACGCCCAGTACGACGACATACTTAGTCGGTATCCCAAGAAGCCGTGGCACTCGTTCATCAATGCCGAGAACCAGCGCTTTGTCAGCAACGATGCGATTGACTTCCTCGACAAATTGCTGCGATACGATCACCAGGTACGTTCTGTCGTATGTAAAGATGCGGTGTCAAAGACTAACATGTATCAGGACCGACTGACTGCCCAAGAGGCTATGCAACATCCTTACTTTGCGCCCGTCCGACAGGCTGCGCAGCAAAACAGCACCGCGGCATGATTGAGATACCCATTCACGTAATTAGACTTTATGTAATAGCATAAAAGTTACAGCAACGAAATACTCGGTCTCCCATGTATCTGTTCCAAGTTTATTGTGGTTGGAGACAGAGCTGAGGTGCCGGCGTACAAGCACAAGGCGCACATCACGGAGCGGCAGTGCATAGGGCAAGGTGCTAGGTATCGTTCTTGTATAAGCGATGGGGAGCGCAATGGTACATCGCAGGCGCATGGGAGCAAACAAAGCTCAACAAGTACTCGGCTCAATGCATATTGGGGTGTTGGTGGACGCTCATTCTTGCTAGAAGTGTCTTATGCTCACGGTAGTCAATGATGAATCTTTTTGTGACACACCTATCTCTGACTCGACTTGTGCACCTCACCTGGTTGTTTGCTTTTCATCGCATATGAATCATCGTCGGACATTTCCGATGTGAGATCGGAGAGCTCCTATCGTCTGGTAATGACTGTGTCCCGTCATGACTGTGTTTTATGCAGTCATGGAGCAACACGCATGGCTCAATGGTTCGTCGTCGTAGGCGGGGTCCGTCCGAGCTCCAGGATGTGGGGTGACGCAGGCCGGACTTGGACGACTCACACCCAGGCACTTTTTTGTTAATGTTGCCCCGCACCGCGCCCACTACACTGCGCGCCGCCTGCAGACGAAACCTCGATTCTCAAATTCTTGCCAGACGCCCATTGCAATTGAGACGGCCAACCCGTAGCCTATCGCGAACCTACACGCCGCTTCACGCTGAGCGCGTGCTCACCCACAAACACCACTACTCGACCGCAACCATGGCGCTCAACGCGTCCTCCCACAACTCGACCGGCGAGAAGACGACGCCAAACACTGCGCCGCCGCCCGAGCTCAGCGCAGACGTCAAGAAAGACATCCTTGGCGCTGCTGAGAACGAGGCTACCGGCCAACATGCGCCTGG